AAGGAGGAGGGATCAAAATATATAGAACTAATTTTTTGGTGTTGGGGGCATGAGAAGTTCCCTTCATACTGAGGACTCAGTTCAACATACTAAGTACATGTGATGTTTTGTAAGAAATTTTAAAAGATTTTAATAATTTACTTAGATATGAATACTAATATAAGTATATTACAGAAAAGGGTGTTGGGTAGAGATTCGAACCGATCGCTATTGAGTTGCATAGTTATACACACAAGAGACATGAGGACCAGCAATGGGTTGATGAGCGAACAAAGAGAGCCTACGTTAGTATATAAGATTAATATATTTTCGGTGTCATATGTAAATTTCTTAATATTGTATTAACTTTTGTAGGAAAAGTATACACGACTTTGACAAAGCTAACTAGGAGCAGGTGAGGGATCTTTTGGGAGATCAACAAATTATTCTAACTATTATACTTGGTCGAAAGTTGTAGGAGTAATGCATAATTGATGTGTTTATGATTTAGGCTCGCAAGCATACACATACGAGGGGTAGGCATTTGGTGGCTCTAGCTTTTGAGATAGAAGGAGTCATTGTATAGCCAACATGTAGCTGCTCTTACAGCTGAGCTAGAACAAGTCAGGAAATCACAAGCTAACATACAGTGTAGATGAAGATGCAACAAACTCAATTCTTAGATGAGTTGTAGAAATTGAGGGAGTAGTTCAGTAGAAAGTAGACAACATCACCAGAGGAGGAGATTGACTCTGATTATATATTTTTCTATTATTACTATACATTTCATTTATTTGTTGAACATTTCGTTTATAAGATATTTTATTTTGTCCATTTTTAAATGTGCAACGAACAAACTTTATCAATAAATTTAAACTATTTGGTGAATGTTCAATTAATTTGGAATGATCAAATATGTTATTAAATAGTTTGGTGAATGTTAAAGTGTTTGTTTATGTTCAATGTCTGAATGAATATGATATATGTATATTTTTATGCATGTTTATCATGTTGTAGGAAACATAAACATAAGAATGAATGTTATTTATTTTGTTACAGGTTTTAAGAAGATTTTTGACAAAATATTTACTGGAATGGAGATACGACAAAAATGTTTCAAATTTCCAACGGAAATGTTTTGCCGAAAGTTTCAACGGATAATTCGTCAAAACTTTCTACTTGTTATGTCCAGCGAAATTTTCTAATATCTTATCTACTGGAATTTTCTGACGGATTTCGTCCGTGGTGGATAAATCACTAGTAAGAGTGCTTTGTAAATGATGAATATTTCTACATAACTCCACCAAAATTTTGTCAGAACATCTGCCCATAATATTTTTGAAGAAAAAATTCCACTGGAACAAGGTTTCCGACATGCGTTTTACCGTCAACTAAATTTCTACCAAATACTTGTTAGAAATTTATATTTTTTTAGTAGAATTTTATGATTTTTAGTGAATTTTGGATGCTAGTAATAATAGATTTTCTTGTAGTGGATGGTCAAATGATCATTGTTTAGTGGCAGAGATCGAGAGATCATGATTAGGCAACAATGATCTATTTATGGTAGTGTCAAGATCATGCTATAAGGATGGTGGTTGGGAGACTATAATCGAGTTATAAGGATATGTTTGTTGGTTAATGGTGGTTGGGAGGCCATAGCTAGGTGATGGTTGTTGGGAGATTGTAGTTGTGTGATAATAGCTAGATGACAATGGTCTCGCAGTAATTGCTGAAAATTTTATAGTCGAGTAATGATGGTTAGGAGATCATAGCAGGATGACAGTGGTCGGTAGACCCTAATTTGGTGATCATGTCTTTGTAATGGTGGCTGGGAGAAAATAATTGGGCAATGATGGTCAAGAAGCCATAGGCAAGAGACAATAATCTAGTGATGGTAGTAAAAAAAAAACAATCAACAAGTGATGACAGCTGAAAGTTTAAAGTCGGGTGATGGTAGTTAGAAAACAGTAGTCTAGCAATGATAATTAGAAGATTATAGTTGGGAGATAGTAATTTGGTGTTGGGAGATTATAGTTGTGCGATGGTGATTAGGAGACAATAGTTGAGTGACTGTGGTTGAGGGACCATACTTGTGTGATGTGGGTTGAGAGAACGTAGTTTTATGATGATGGTTGAAAATATGTAGTATAATAATAATGGTGGGAGAATGTAATAGGTGATAGTACTAGGGAGATTGTTATTAGATGACAAGAGTCTTGTGATATTGGTGAAGAGACTATAATTAGGTGATTATATACTAGAGATTAGAGTCAAGCAATGATGATCATGAGACTATCAAGTGACGATGTTCATGATGAAAGTTCAATGGATGGTTGTGAAATCAATTGAACTATTGAATGACACATCAAGAGGGGAGTAAATTGGCATTACAAAATCCTTTTTGAAATCCTTTTGAAATTAAACAACCAAATTCAAAATCTTTAAAGTGGAAAAAATAATAAAATAAATATAAACTTTTGTTTTTTATTTTATAGAAAAAGTTACTAACAAATCTCTTTGTTATTTTTACAATGATATATTTTTTTTTGTTTTTAAATAAAGATCAAAGTAAATCATCCAAGATGATTTTCATATAGCAATAAAAACCAAAGTCAACCAGATTTTAGAAAATAAATGTGAGAGAAAGTAAAGCTGCAAAAAGTAAATGCAAAAAATAAAATAATGCAAACTAAATTTTTATGGTAGTTCAGTTAGCTTTGATCTGCATCCACTTCCCTAAATCCTCCTCTTCGGGTATTGCACTAAATAATAGTGACTCTCCTCAAGCTCTCACGGCTAGGCAAAGAAGCCCTTATAAAATCACTTTCACTTCCTCTGTATGGCAAAGATCTGAAATCCCTTTCACCTCCTCTATGTGGAGTAGTCAGAATTCCTTTCACCTTCTTGTTGCAACAGAGAAATAAAATTAATTTAACATCATCGATGTGGCGGAGTAGCTCAAATCACTTTCACCTTTCTGGCGCGATGAAGTAGCATACGATCTTTGGCTTAAAAGTCTTCCTTCACAAAGATTTCCCCTAAAGACAAACAATGGTGTATGGAAGAACTCATGTGAGGCTAGCTAGAGCATCCGTGTGAAAAACTTCTTTTACACTTTCTTGTCACACTTAATACTCTTCTGCCTCCCACACAACATCTCCCTTTCTCACATTTACTCAAAGTTCTCTCTTCAGGCACTCTCAAGATGAAACTGCCTCTCGAGGAGGAGCACTAATAGACGACACAAGATTGTCAAAAGACTCTTACAAAGTCTTAAAAATAGTTTAAATAGCGGGCTTAAAAATTCTAAATTTTCAATTATACAGACTCTGTTGGTATAGCATGATAGGAATTGTACAGGACAAAGCAAGGCTCATCCATAGAGTCATCAAGTCATTCATACTTTATGATACATGATCATCTAATACAATCTGTAATTAATTCAAATTCTATTTGATTCCTTAATGATGTGACATAAATTAGGCAATATTATAAAAGATCGTATAATACAAATGTGTTACAATATGAACAATTCAAATTTCAAATTTGTTTATTTTAAGTAAGTTTGATTTGACGGAGGGCTTTCTTATAATAACTATTTGTTCATTACAATTAACTATCATTCAATATGATTGGTTATAAATAAAATTCATTTTTGTCATTGAAATTAAACATTATAATTAATTTTTTATTGAACTCTTTGTATATTATGGTATTGATCGTATAGAATGATTAACATAAAAATTTAAATATTTATTATTCACTCCGTTGGTGTGTGTGCATCATTGCTAAACTAGCATATATATTAACTCAAGAAAAATAGAATTACAGACTCTTTCAAACAAGTCTATCCTATACAACTTTTTTTTAGCTTTGATTCTCTGATGATGCTTTACATGTTTAACTTGAAATGTTAGTGAAGCATACAGGAAAAATATGTAATATATATAGCACGAGAAACTAAATAGACATCAAATAATATTTGTAATTATCAAAATACAAGGTAGGGCTCCCAGATTGCGATATAGGAGATTGTAGTTAGGCAACGCTAGTCTAACAACAATGCTCGAATGGCGTTGGATGGGTAGAGGAGGGCTGATAGCAATGGTCAAACAAGAACAGTTGATGGTTATAATCAGACAATGGCAGTTGAATGATGGAATTCTCTTTAATTTCAAGTCAAAGTCTAAGTTCAAACTACTTTTCATATAAAAAATGAGGTCCTATTCATAATTTTGAGAGTGATACTTTAGTTATTTTGGCCTATGTTCCAAGAAAATCTATCAAAAAACACATTTTAATTTTCTTAATGCTCGACCATTCTTTCAGCATATACATGCCTTAATGATCTCATAATCAAGTAATCTTAGGCTAGTAGAATTGCTCTCATCAAGTGCTCGATTCAATTGCAAGTATGCAACATTTAGTGATCATATAATTCTTTAATTAGTATCATGAATTTTTTAACTATGCTTCAAGTGCTTGGATTGGATTTATTTGGGCTTGAACAAGATAACTTTTGAGTTTCATTGGATTTATTTCATTGAGACATTCAATTGTAATATAAGTTTGTTAAAATAAGACTTCAAATGATCATGAATCTTAATTCCAAAAGTTTTCAATTTCAATATGCATCAAGATTTGTACTCGACTTTGTGTATTTTTTTATGGCATATCATTCTATTGCATAGCAATAAGCGAGTTATGCTCCAACGTCCAAAAGTTTACCCAAAATCTGTTCAAATAATTCTCTTTAAACATTTATAATATATAGTAGCATCATTTTAATAGAGTTGAACAATCATGCATCTTATCTTGTTTTATTAGTTGAGAGTTTTGTTTATCAATGAAGATGTTTTGGGTTTGAATCTTACATATGTGATGTGTGTGTGAATTTGCCTTAATTAACCTAAATGTACAAACCCCCCTTAGGGAAAAAAAAAAAACAAGGAGTTGAACAGCCAAGCCAGCCATACTTATATTTCTACACTAACACATGAAAGGAAAACACATTTAAGTCATCTTCATAAATTGATTGGAATCCATTAAAATTATGGCAATTATGACAGAATCTTTTATAGGTTGAGAAAGATTACTTGAGTTCACATACCAAACCAAGTAAATTACAAGGATAACCAGTGCTCTATGATTGCAAGATTAGAAGCTAACATATTTTCTTAATGCTAATATATTAATAATATATACATGGTAGAAGAATATATGAAGATTAGCATCCTATAACTAAGCTAAAATCGAAATTGCAATCCCAGTCTCACCTTCAAAACCTTCCATTCCTCCAGCCAAACATTGTAACTGGAATTAGAAGCCAAAACATCAACAGAGACCTCCTTCTTTTCCACCAAGGAGCTTGCATAGAAATCAAAAGCATTCAGCTTTTCACAGATTAGCTTCAATTTGAACATATTTCCATGGCAATTACTAGTAGCCTCTTCCAGCCACTCCCTTGCCTCTTCCACCCTCGCCCAGAAGCAAGGATCCTGAGTAAGCCCGGCAAACTTGCTCCGCCTCCTGTCATCCTTCTCAAATAGCTCCTTGTGTCTTTCTCTCCACCATTTATCAAAAACTTCATACCTTCTCTCCCTCCCATGTGCAAGATAATGCCCCTTGGTTTTGTGCATTTGGATTCGATAGTATTCAGCAATATCCAATGGCTCCACAAGAAGCTGGTAGAAATGAGAAGCATTTACCCATTTGGCTCGCTTGCGAACATCATGAGGAAGCTGGTTGCTGTGAACAATGTCAACTAGATCATCCCAGAAGCATGCGAGCTTGATTCGATTCATATTCACCTTGGAGTCCCTCTTGGATGCCTTCCTTTGCTTGAAAGAATCATAGTAGCCCATGTTGCTGTCGCAGCAAGCCTTGTACCATTCAATTTGAGCACGACAGGGTGTAATTTTAGCCAGTCTGATGGAGAGATTAGCGCAGTTTAGGCTGGGGCTTCGACTAGTTTTCATTGACATCTCCAAGCATTCTCTGGCATCCATGACTCTTTTGTCCTGTAATGAAAACTCCAATTCATTCCAAATTTCCAGTTTATGTGAACAATAGCATAGTAAGCACTACTCGTTACTTCACTTCTCAAACTCCTTGATTTCATGATTGACAACAAATGATTTGCAGCATTGTATCTTACTAAAAAAATTTGAATTTTATTTGAATCATCAAGATTGTAGCATTAGGATCATAATAGCATACCTCAACTCCAATACCTGAGGCCTTGAGTGCTAGTGAGATCCCAGCAGCACAATTAGATCTTGAAACATCACCAACTAAATCATTTTTTTTCTTTTGCAGTAACTGCTGTGAGGCCTTTTTCACGAAACCACCATAGCATAAATGTTCCTCTTCAATACTCAATTTTGCAGAGCCTGTCGTAAATGTCAGGCAAAGCATTCGGATTACAGCAATCGGGTTATCAATGCAGACCATGCCTTCATTTGAACACAAAGCATAGCAGCCGAATGGCCTGAACTTGCTGTTTTGTTGATGAGAGGTGAGCTTCTGCTCGCCGCACAATGGAGTAATTTGATTTGTAATGAACTGATGAAGCTCAGCTTTGTGAGCACGAGAAGACTGCAATGAAGGTTTTGCAAGTAGAGGGCATGCCAAATAGAATTGGCATGACTGCAGGAGGCAGATGATTAGCTGGATAGGAATGGAATTTTGTGCGCAGAAGAGGAGCCTCGGCACAATATCATGTTGAGATACGACATGGCAGAATATACCAGTCCATCTCGCACGAATAATGAACTGTGACAAGGCTTCGTTGCCAAGGAGTGGACTCCCAAATGTGATGCAAAGTAGGGAGGGTTGTGATGAAGAGGAGCTCAATAAAGAGCAGAGGAAGTATAGGCTGACAAGTGAAGCTAAGGATCCTCCAACCGAGTGGCCTGTAAATATTACTTTCTTGTTACCCGTCTTCATCGTCTCCATGAGCTTCTAAAACATTGGAAAAAAAGAAATCAGACCAGTTTTCTCCAGAAAATGATTCTTAAATTCTATATTAGAAGCTAAAGGGGGCATTTGGTTTCTTAGTGATAGTAAAAATGTTTTAGAACATGATTCAATTTACAGAACATGTTTACTAAAATCAAGAAAGAAAATAAACACTAATCCTATTCTCTGTTCCCTTAATCCTCAACGAGCCAGTAAGAAGTGAAATCATTAACTCCTACAGCAGAGACTGAACTGTTATCAAATTAATCTTCCTAATCTCCAAGGGTCCAAACATGTATTATTTCTACTTCACTCTTTCATTTAAAGTTATGTCAATAATGCTCGACAAAGATGAAGCTTGTATGAACTAAGGAGAGGATTTCAAAAACCGAACTAGAAAGTAGAAACATTTCTGTCTAACCAAACATCAATCAGAAATATGTTCTGTAATTAAACTGGGCTTTACAAATACTGACACATCCCTAATTTAAGAGAAATTCTATTCCCTTTCATTGATTCTACAAATTTGAGCATTGATGCATCAAATTTATCAAATTTAACTCTTAATTAGCAGGCATTAAAGCTCTTAAAGATGATCGAAGCAATCAGTAAAAGCCTAAACCAGGTAAACAAAGGGAAACTTTCTTAATCCCAGCCGGAAGGTAAACCAACCAAAAAAAAAAAAGAAGAACTTTTTGTCCTTGATGATCACAGCAGAAAACAGACTTACCCAGAACTGCGGAGTGTCGAAGATGGAGAAGAAGAGTTGAAGCGCACAAGCCTGAACAAGCACCGTCTCCCCATCGCCGTCCTCACTCACCAAAGGCGAGAAGAGCTCGCGGCCGCAAGCGGAGGCGAGAGGCATGGTAGAGAAAAAGCAATCGCTGTCAATCATTGGTTGGATGCTTCCGGCACCAGAGAAGGCCACGTAGAGAACGTCGTCCACCTCTTCGGCAGCGAAGCTGGCGGTGGCGGCCGCGGCTGCAGCGAGGCCACACTGTCGCCATGCCAGAGCAAGCAGCGGCGAGCAAGCGAGCTCCGCTCCCAGCACGTGACTAGTCTCAAACCTTCGAAGAAATACCAAATTCAGAGAGAGACAGGTGAAAGAGAAAGCGAGACAAAGCTTAAGATAGAGCAGGAGGAAGCTTACATGGTTTCTTCGCTGCTTGCTTCCATGGCTGAAAAGTGGAAAACGGAGCATTTGCTCTCCGCGTTCTGGTCACCGGCTTATGTGCGCTTCATGCGTACGTTCAATGCACTTATTTTTTTTAAGTTAATGAAAACTATAAGTTAAACTAAAAAAGAAATTAGGGTTTTTTTTTTAACGGTGGTATCTACCGGTGCCATTCCTTGGAGAGGGAACTTTTATTTTGATCAGGTGAACGCACGTAGAGCTACGTTCGGCCGGCACTAAGATCGCAGGCACAAAATGAAAAATACTGAGCAATACCGAGTAATCCCAAAAAATACCGAGTAATCCCAACTCTTCATCAACAGCCTATTTGGCTGATTAGCACCCCAGTAGCCTAATATGAGAGTTTCATTTCCAACAAAAGAAGTAAGAGAAATAGTTTGAGCTGCTATATATATACAAGCAAGAGTCTTCATTATCTCCATATCACATTTACGTCTCAATTTTCGATTAAGGAATATCACAATACAATAAAGTTTAACAAGTAGAGGATTCTTAGCAGCATTTTTTTCCATCCACGTACAACATTCCTTTAAAGAAGCAAAAACCGGCAACAAGAAACCCCATCTATTAATATCTTGGATTGCCTGAATTAGTTTAGAGCATCCTACCACCACATGGTTGATATTTTCCACCTCTAGGCAACCCATAGGACATACATTGTCCATTCTCAATCTTCTTTTCACAAGAAATCCAAAGGTTGGGATAGCTTCATGAAAACGCCTCCACCAAAAATTTTCCACCCATGGAATAAGCTTGAGTTTCGTTAGCCAATTCCAATAAGTCTCTCTTCCCATTAGATCACCTGAAGCATTAACTTCTGAAACAATAGCAGAAAGAGTTTTCCATATCTAAAAATGAATCATCTCCAAAGTATCCTTCAGAAGATCAGAACAAGTTTGTATTTGAGAAATTAAAATAACTAGTTCTTCTCCAAAGCAAATATTCAATTCTTCTAAATTCCAGCATCCATGAGCAATGAACTAGTCCAATTCTGTGTCATCCATCACATGGACCGAAACAAAAGTTGGCCACCTAACAAGACAATTATCCATTAACCAAACATCCTTTAGCACATTGATTGACTTCCCATCCTTCACATTCCACTTGAAAACCAGAGCAATGGCCTTACAACCTTTCAACATAATCTTCCAAACTGAACACTAGTACCTTAACTTTGCATCATCCTTGAACACTAGGTGTAGCTAGATTCATTTCAATTTACAGTTGCATAGGGTCCACCTACCTTTGCCTAATGGACCTTGAGTAGATTTTGCCTGCTTATATAGCATTTAGTCAGACCTTAGCCTAGCCAATGGGAATAAACTTTTCATAGAAGAAACATCAACATAATCTATATCAACTATATTTACATATATTATTTTATCCTCTTTACAATTTTCATCTATTTATTTATTCATATTCTTTAATGTCATGCAATGTTGCTTGATGTGCGCTTATTTTTTGAAATAAAAATAAATTTTATTGTTACCAATAGATATTTTTTGGAGGTAGATACTTTCTCTATATATCCCCCTCATAACATTCTCTCACCCTGGTTTCTTTTTTGTTCGCACCCTTAAGATTTGAAATCATATATTTTCCTAAAATTTAATAATTTATATTCCTTAAGCTAAACATTTAGTTCATACAATATTGTGTCAAAGTGATTATAAGAGGGAGATAATAATAATAATAATAATAACAACAACAACAACAACAACAACAACAACAATAATAATAATAATAATAATAATCAATATTAACCCATATCATTAATGATTCTTAAATCATAAATAATTAAAATAATTTGATTCAAATCTGACTTGATTGTCATACCTTCATTCATGATAATTTTTTTTTATGAAGTTTTCGTCATAGATAATAACTCTAACATGAGTCATAGATCATTTATGATTTACTCCTCCATAGCTCATGCCAAGATCTCAACATCTAAATAACCTTAAATTACTATGATTACTTTTAATTCATCCGTAGCATTTATTCTTCACTCATTAACATCAATATCTTTTAATGTCATAAGAGTGCCTTTAATAGACAATACTAGGAAAAAAAAAAGTAAGATAAGAGTGCCATAAGAGTGCCACAGGGATACTTTTACCTCTTCCTATTATAATTGTTGTGATTGCTAGCTATTCGAGGATAAAATAACATGAATAACCCACCCTTTTGTGATAATACAAAACATTTCAGAAAGACTTGAGTTAGGATTCATTGGTCATAATGAAAAAAGACATAGGAATTGCTTTTGAGCCTAAATTAGAAATCGAGGCAACAACAATTGATCCCCTTTCAATATAGTCATATATAGCAACTAAAGCCTTATTAAAAAAGACAAGATAAGAGAACCAATATATAATGGCCACCTGTTTTTCCCCCTTTTGGCTTTGCATATTATAGTATGCAATCATTTAAGACCATTGAAATCTATAACTATTTTATAATATATAATAAAGTTTTTTTGTGATTCATGATGCATCATAATTCATGCATGCCCTAAGATCCATACTAGCTTTGTTGTGCCATATCAACAATCCATTTTATAAGAAAGAGAGAGACTTTAGCATCCATGCTAGCTTTAGATAAAAAATTTTGACCAAATCTCCTCTATTGCATTGCCAGGAGGATTGATTGGATTGGTGTTAAGTAGCTGAAGTCAATAATAAGTGGTTCTACGTAATCTTGAATATTGACTGTTGACTAACTATCTCACTCAACTAAAATCTGAAAAGGAGATGCCATTTAATCTGGAACCTTCGAATGGACGTCGTTCACATTTATTAAAGTTTTCTTATAGTCTTACTTGTTTTAATAAATTGGTTAATATAACTTGTGAAGGCAGGCAAAGTCCTCCTCAAAGTCTTCTTCTAGGAAAAGCCAAAAGAGCAGAGAAATTTTCATAAAGGCCTTGCCTAATCCTATTATTGACATGAATAACCCTATCAAAATATAGGTAGCTGACCAGCAATTTTATGGACAATCTAAATAAAGGGTTTAAATTCGGTTAAAGAGACATTGCAATTAAATTTTTTTATAAATTTAGGTTTCATTTGAGACAGCTTTCTTACTATTTTTAAAAAGAACATTTTAGCATACAAAATAATTTTATTAGCTAAAAAAGAAAACCGTCCCAAATAAAATCTTAATTAGATATTGACACCTAAATTATTTCCGAAATTTATTTTTTTGGGCGAAAGTTACATGTTAAAATTTAAAAATTTGATAGAAGTAATCGAAGAATGAACTTTTTTTTATGAAGTTAGCTATGATTGAATTGGAATGCTTAAAGTTATTATATTATTTTTATATTAAATTGCTAAGAGAGCTCTGCTAGACTTGAATTTATCATTCAGCAATATAAAAATCTTTCTAATAAAATTTGTTAGATAAACATACATGTAAAAAATAGCGAAAGAGGTGCAAGGATTTCATTAGTTTACCGAGAATACAAGAGATGGACCCTTGTGACTCGATGTGTTAAAGGTATTCATTTGGCCTCCTATTTATAGATTTGGGTTAGAGTATAAGATTATATATATATATATATATATATATATATATATGGGGATAGTGAATTATTTTGATGACCCAGACCATGTCCGCCACATAAACAAAACTAAGGAAAGAGATCTATCTGGATCTTATAAATAATTTAATCATTGGTATGCCACTCCAGAAAAACTATAAATAGAGCCCTCATTCTACACCAAGGGAACTCAAGTGAAGAGAGAGAAGAAGAAGAGAAGAAGGAAGAAGCTCCTCCTTGACCATCGCCGGAGTTCTTCCTGCCACGCCGGGAATTTGCAGAACTTTGTAAACTTCCTGGAATAAACAAATTGTATTCTGATTGTCCCGACTTGTGGGACGAATCAGCCATTTGTAATCTACAAAAACACTAGTGGAACTTTGCAACTGGGCGAGGCCCCGTGGTTTTTTCCCTTTTTGGGTTTTCCACGTAAAAACTCTGATATTCATTTCTCTTTTCTGTTTGTGTGCGGAATACTCGTGCAACGCTAAGAAGAGTATTTTCTAACTCTACTGTCGCGTATATTCTAGCACGCAACATCTATATATATATATATATATAAGAACATGAGGTGTTTAGCCAAAAAGTCAATTGCGTACACATTGACAATTATCATAATTTTCCACCAACTAATTTCCGCCAATTAATTGGACCAAGCCACCGATTGGCTAGATAAGGTTGTCGACTTATAGAGTTGTAGGTCTATAGTTTTTATGCTTGGGAAAGAAGCCTTCAAATTTGGGAAGATAGGTTTGGTTAAGTCTAAACTCAATATACTCATTTGCAAATCCATTCTAACCAAGCTAGGCTAGTTCATGGTAATTATTGTGAGATCAATGTCCTTGTTTCTTCTTACTCCATCGAGTTACCTTGAATAGGGTTTTTGTTGAATTGGGCCGTTAAGATACTTGGATATATATTTAGTTTGTTGATTCTCTTGTATCTTTGAAAACCAATTAGCAAATAGGACAAAAGAGTTAAATTACATTTAGTATTATTCAAAGTTGTGAAACAATAGAAGATCTATTATCTTAATGAGCTATCATATTGAAAGCATCACCAATTTATTAGTTTAATAACAACATAGATTTGACTTGTGCGCATGTCAACATCAATGGTGGTCTATAAATACTGGCATAGTTCTCTCATCTTAAAGTTAGCTCGCTCCATTAATTACTTCCTTGATATTTTTTTTTTAATTCGCAACTCGTCCTAGCTAAGATGCTAAAATTTCTACCATGAAGAATAACATTCCTAATTTAGAGTTGCTTTAAGGTATCTTACAAAATGTAAGCAAGGTAGATCAAAATGCTCGGTGGATAAAGTAGAGATAGAAATTCAATAAGATGCATAAAAAGTGAAATTAATAGATGGTGAGGATAACAACCACCCAAGCAAATCTAGTGGGTAAACTAGCTAACATCTTAACAATGGCTTTTGTAATCCCAATGATTGAGCTACTAATTGAGTTACTAGCTTTACCAATCTTTCTTTTGGTAATTATTAATCTTCATAAGACTATTTTAGCTGG